TTTTGGTCTTTTCCATCCTCCGGTTCTCTCATTTCGAGTCCGGAATGCGTTTTCCGTCCTCCGGTGCACTCTTTTCGAGGCCAAACTGCGTTTTTGGTCTTTTTCCGTCCTCCGGTTCTCTCATTTCGAGTCCGAAATGTGTTTTCCGTCCTCCGGTGCACTCATTTCAAGGCCAAACTGCGTTTTGGACATCAAAATGGGGCTTCATTACCCTGCTGAGGGGTTATGAAGCTGGATTTGTAGCGCCTACATTTGCACGACTGGATGTAGGCGCTGATTTGGGCTGAAAAAACTATGTAGGCGCTTGGAAATTACGCCTACATGGTTCCTGGGGCATGTAGGCGTAATTTCAAAGCGCCTACTTAGCAGGTGCTCATTTGCCAGCGCCTACTTACAGAGGAGGGAATGTAGGCGTACAAAAATGACGCCTACATTCTATTTTCAGAATGTAGGCATACACAAATGACGCCTACATTGGTTTTTCAGCCTGTAGGCGTCATTTAAAAAAGAAAAAAGCGCCTACAGGCTGTATGTAGGCGCTTTTTGGCGGAAAACATCCATGTAGGCGTATTTTGGACAGCGCCTACATGAATTTCATGTGGGTGGCAAATAGCAACGGCCTAAGACAAATAGAGCAAACCAAAGAACAAAATTGATCAATTTGTTTTGTTTGTTTTGTTTGTAGAAATGATCCACTATACTATGGGTACATACACCCTATAAAACTATTAGTGATATTAGTAATATAGTACTATTATTGATATTAGTAGTAGCAGTAGAATCACAGCGGAATGATGTGTGCTTGTAATGGGTATGAAGGCTTTGTTACAGTATCTCCTGAAGTCAATTTGAGCCTGTGAATGAGCAACCCCCTTTCTGCATTGCCAATTGTTTTTCTAAACCCAATGTCACTGCAAGAAAAGTTCCAGTACTCAAATAAAACCTTTTGTTTTGTCTCAAATATGGTAGTTCCTCAACTGTCAAGGTTATCTTACTTCTAATCTGATACTGTAATCTCTTCCACACCATCTATGAATGAACTCACAAAATGAGTGGATCAATACCAAATGAAACTCCATCAACACTATCATCCAAGAAGTATGTATGCTACAATCAAAATTTGCCTTGATCAGACCTGTAACCCAGTTCCAGTCTATTCCCTCATTAACAATGATACCAACCAGTAAGTACTGCTATGGTTAAGGTCATGGCTGGGGTTTCTCAACAAGGGTCAAAGATCTGGTTTCTGATGTGCTATTCAGATTGCGATAGTAATATAGTAGTACTAGTCACTGCGTCCGCCAGAGCCGTTCCCGACGTCGAGATCGTGATAAACTACAAAGGGGCCCTTTGTAGTCGGCAACATTCTCGACATCGAGAACAACTCCGGCGGATGCAGTGAGTAGTACTACTGGCACATCAGCCCTAGAGTACTATAGTATGGTCAATGTACTTAAACACTACAGTACTGTTTATACTATTAGTTTGTGTCAGCCGTATTTGTACTATAGTACTATTGGTACTATTGGTACAATACACAATGAAAACTATAGTACTATAGTACAATTAGTACAATACACAAAGAAACCTATAGTAGCATAGTACAATGTGTAAAATACACAATGTAGAATATAGTACTGTAGTACAATTAGTACAATACACAAGGAAACCTATAGTAGCATAGTACAATTGATACAATACACAATGAGAACTATAGTAGTCATAGTATGGTACTATTAATACTATATTACTACAGGACTATTAGTACTATAGTACTATGGAGACCATTAGCTCATCCACCTTATAGTACTATACATACAGCAAGGCAATGAGGAAATAAGAAGCATTGAGTGATTTGTACTCCATTTACTCAAATATATTGAATGACCAAGTTGAATAACACATGTATTGATGTTAACAGATGGCAAACAACAGTAAACTTGTCAAAAATTGTATGATGAAAATTTGACAAGTTTATCAAATTTCTACATACACACATGGTAAGAAATCTTCTCACTGTGATGCAAAAATTGCCCATGTAACTTTATGCTACTTTGGTTACCAAAGGGGCTGTACAATAAGGGTACTCAAAGCAAGTATGTGGCGCTACATATGTGTCGCCACTCTTTCCAAATTCACTCTTG